TAGTACTGTTGATATTTTTGGTAACAACTAGTAATAGAAGCAGTAGTGTCATTAATTTCAGTTGCAGCACTAGAAATAGAGGCAGTAGTAGTGTTGTTTCATAGTTGCAATAGAAATACAAGGAGTAATATTATTTTCAGTAACAGCACTAGAATTAGAAGCAGTTGTGTTGATATTTTCAGGAACAGTACTAGAATGAGACGCAGTAGTGTAGATATTTTCAGCAGCAGCACTAGTCATAAAAGCAGTGGTGCTATTTTGTTCAGTAACAGCACTAGCTGTTGAAGCAGTAGTATCGTTAATTTCAGTAACAACTAGTAATAGAAGCAGTAGTGTCGTTAATTTCATTTGCAGCACTAGAAATAATGGCAGTAGTAGTGTTGTTTCATAGTTGCAGTAGAAATAAAAGGAGTAATATTATTTTCAATAACAGCACTAGAATTAGAAGCAGTAGTGTTATTTTCTGTAGCTGCACTAGAAATACATGCAGTAATGTTATTTTCAGTAACAGTACTAGAGTTAGAAGCAGTAGTGTTGATATTTTCAGTAACAGGACTAGAGTGAGAAGCAGTGGTGTTGATATTTTCTGTAGTTGCACTAGAAATACAACCAGTAATATTTTTAGTAACAGTACTAGAATGAGAAGCAGTAGTGTTGATATTTTCAGTAACAGTACTAGAAAGAGAAGCAGTAGTGTTGATATTTTCAGTAACAGGGCTAAAGTGAGAAGCAGTAGTGTTGATATTTTCTGTAGTTGCACTAGAAATACAAGCAGTAATATTATTTAAACTAGCAGCACTAGAATGAGAAGCAGTAGTGTTGATATTTTCAGTAACGGGTCTAGAATTAGAAGTAGTAGTGTTATTTTCTGTAGTTCCACTAGAAATACAAGCAGTAATATTATTTTCAGTAACAGTACTAGAATGAGAAGCAGTGGTGTTGATATTTTCAGTAACAGGGCTAGAATTAGAAGCAGTAGTATTATTTTCTGTAGTTGCACTAGAAATACAACCAGTAATATTATTTTTAGTAACAGTATTAGAATTTGAAGCAGTGGTGTTGATATTGTCAGTAACTAGTAGTAGAGTTAGAAGCAGTACTGTTGATATTTTCAGTAACAGTACTAGAGTTAGAAGTAGTAGTATTGTTATTTTCTGTAGTTGCACTAGAAATACAAGCAGTAATATTTAAACTAGCAACACTAGAATGAGAAGCAGTAGTGTTGATATTTTCAGTAACTAGGACTACTGTTAGAAGCAGTACTGTTGATATTTGCATTAACAGTACTAGCGTTAGAAGCAGTAGTATTGTTATTTTCTGTAGTTGCACTAGAAATACAACCAGTAATATTAATTTTCGTACTAGAATTAGAAGCAGTGCTGTTGATATTGTCAGTAACTAGTACTAGAGTTAGAAGCAGTAGTGTTGGTATTTTCAGTAGCAGCACTAGAATGAGAAGCAGTAGTGTTATTTTCTGTAGTTGCACTAGAAATACAAGCTGTAATATTAATTTTCGTAACAGTACTAGAATTAGAAGCAGTGGTGTTGATATTGTCAGTAACTAGTACTAGAGTTAGAAGCAGTAGTGTTGGTATTTTTAGTAACAGTACTAGAATGAGAAGCAGTAGTGTTGATATTTTCAGTAACAGGGCTAGAGTGAGAAGCAGTAGTGTTGATATTTTCAATAACAGGGCTAGAGTGAGAAGCAGTGGTGTTGATATTTTCTGTAGTTGCACTAGAAATACAACCAGTAATATTATTTAAACTAGCAGCACTAGAATGAGAAGCAGTAGTGTTGATATTTTCAGTAACGGGTCTAGAATGAGAAGCAGTAGTGTTATTTTCTGTAGTTGCACTAGAAATACAAGCTGTAATATTAATTTTCGTAACAGTACTAGAATTAGAAGCAGTGGTGTTGATATTGTCAGTAACTAGTACTAGAGTTAGAAGCAGTAGTGTTGGTATTTTTAGTAACAGTACTAGAATGAGAAGCAGTAGTGTTGATATTTTCAGTAACAGGGCTAGAGTGAGAAGCAGTAGTGTTGATATTTTCAATAACAGGGCTAGAGTGAGAAGCAGTAGTGTTGATATTTTCAATAACAGGGCTAGAGTGAGAAGCAGTAGTATTGTTTTTTTATGTAGTTGCACTAGAAATACAAGCTGTAATATTATTTTTAGTAACAGCACTAGATTGAGAAGCAGTAGTGTTGATATTTTCTGTAGTTGCACTTGAAATACAACCAGTAATATTTTTAGTAACAGTACTAGAATGAGAAGCAGTAGTGTTGATATTTTCAGTAACAGTACTAGAATGAGAAGCAGTAGTGTTGATATTTTCAGTAACAGGGCTAGAGTGAGAAGCAGTAGTGTTATTTTCTGTAGTTGCACTAGAAATACAAGCAGAAATATTGTTGTTAGTAACAGTACTAGAATTAGAAGCAGTAGTGTTGATATTTTCAGTAATAGTACTAGAGTTAAAAGCAGTAGTGTTGGTTTTTTCATTAACAGTACTAGAGTTTGAAGCAGTAGTGTTGATATTTTCTGTAACAGGGCTAGAATTAAAAGCAGTAGTGTTTTTTTTTCTGTAGTTGCACTAGAATTACAAGCAGTAATGTTATTTTTAGTAACAGTACCAGAAGTAGAAGCAGTAGTGTTGATATTTTCAGTTACAGCACTAAAATTAGAAGCAGTAGTATTATTTTTTGTAGTTGCACTAGAAATACAAGCTGTAATATTATTTTTAGTAACAGCACTAGATTGAGAAGCAGTAGTGTTGATATTTTCTGTAGTTGCACTAGAAAGACAAGCAGAAATATTGTTGTTAGTAACAGTACTAGAGTTAGAAGCAGTAGTGTTGATATTTTCTGTAGTTGCACTAGAAATAGAAGCAGTAATATTATTTTCAGTAACAGCACTAGAATGACAAGCAGTACTGTTGATATTTTCAGTAACAGTACTAGAGTTAGAAGTAGTAGTATTGTTATTTTTTGTAGTTGCACTAGAAATACAACCAGTAATATTTTTAGTAACAGTACTAGAATGAGAAGCAGTAGTGTTGATATTGTCAGTAACTAGTACTAGAGAAGCAGTAGTGTTGATTTTTTCGGTAACAGTACTAGAATGAGAAGCAGTAGTGTTGATATTTTCTTTAACAGGGCTAGAATTAAAAGCAGTAGTGTTTTTTTCTGTAGTTGCACTAGAATTACAAGCAGTAATGTTATTTTCCGTAACAGTACTAGAATGAGAAGCAGTAGTGTTGATATTTTCAGTAGCAGCACTAGTAATAAAAGCAGTGGTGCTATTTTGTTCAGAAACAGCACTAGCTGTAGAAGCAGTAGTAGCGTTATTTTCAGTAACAACTAGTAAAAGAAGCAGAAGTGTCATTAATTTCAGTTGCAGCACTAGAAGTAGAGGCAGTAGTAGTGTTATGTTTCATAGTTGCAGTAAAAATACAAGGTTTAATATTATTTTCAGTAACAGTACTAGAATGAGAAACAGTAGTGTTGATATTTTCGGTAACAACTAGTAATAGAAGCAGTAGTGTAATTAATTTCAGTTGCAGCACTAGAAATAGAGGCAGTAGTATTATGTTTTATAGTTGCAGTAGAAATACAAGCAGTAATGTTATTTTCAGTAACAGTACTAGAGTAAGAAGCAGTAGTGTTGATATTTTCAGTAGCAGCAGTAGAATGAGAAGCAGTAGTGTTGATATTTTCAGTAGCAGCAGTAGTCATAAAAGCAGTGGTGCTATTTTGTTCAGTAGCAGCACTAGCTGTAGAAGCAGTAGTATCGTTTTTTTCAGTTACAACTAGTAATAGAAGTAGTGTCATTAATTTCAGTTGCAGCACTAGAAATAGAGGCAGTAGTAGTGTTATGTTTCATAGTTGCAGTAGAAATACAAGGAGTAATATTTTCAGTAACAGCACTAGAATTAGAAGCAGTAGT